CACTGGTTAGGGAAAAGAGAGAAGCATCTATTGTTCTGGTGGCAATATGATGCTTGGTTCAATTTCTACAGTTAGTGTAGAGGAATAGGAAAATTGAAGGCAAAAGGCACATTTAAGTATCTCTGTAATGTGAACTTAACATTAGAAGAGGTTTCTTTAACCATATAGAGATATTTGAGAGAGGATTTTTATTCTATGGCTTAAGTTATTCTTTGGCTAAGCTTTTATTTCCTCTTACAGAAGAACTTTCTGGTCCAGCACCACCTCAGTAGATGTCCTGGAGTCAGAACCATACCATGCACACACACACACACACACGTAGCCTCCCCACCCTGTGTGTGTGTGTGTGTGTGTGTGTGTAGTATATTCCAAGGAACGAAAACATAAAATGCCTCTTCTTTTTAGTTTGGCTAATAACTTCTAATCAAACCAGTTTTAAAGGAGAGGACCTCACTAATCTTGACTCTATAATTACAGGCTCTAGACTCACAAATAAATTACTTTTAAAAATTAAATTCTAGTAGTTACACCACTTAGAGAAGAACTATTGTAGTGGAATTTCATTGAAATGGTAAATAACATGATGCATGTAAAATTCTACACTAAAGAGTATGTCAAAATAGAAAGTTCATAATCCCTCCACGCAGCTGTAACTGAGAATTTCTATGTGTGTAGAGAGAAGCAATGAGGGAAGGGAAGGGTCAAGAAAGGACTAGAGTAGTAAAGCGAAAAGAAAAGAAGTTAGGTTGATTGTCTGGAGACTTTGCAGGGATGAAGGGGTAATGAGAAGGCTGATATCATTACTTGGAGATAGACATAACAAACGCATGCGTGTGTAGAAGCCCAGTATTCAAGAGAATACAGTGTCTCACTTGAGCTTTGGAGTGAAAAACCCAAAGGCCTGACCTCAGACTCAGTCATTTATCAGCTACAAAGCTGGGTCAGTCCCATAACTTCTAGGAGCCTGCATTCCTTCATGTGAAACAGACGAGATAAGCATTTCTTCCTTGAAGCTTTGTCATAAAGATTAAATCACAGAACTAACAAACGGGGTAGCACAGTGCCTGCCATATAGTAGGTAGTCATTACATATTAAAGTTTTTCCTTTCTGCTTTCTCTGCCCCACTCACCACCATCCCCACTTGGACCAAACATGAGAGTTTGGAAATGTTATCATCTGAAATAAAAATTCCATAAGATGGGTTACATTTTGACAGCAAGCTATGTCGCCACCCAGCTGTCCCTGTCCTCACCTATTTTAATGAAACAATTTTGAATCAACCCCTCGCTGAGCACCATGTAAGCGAGCTAGAGTGTGTCGAATCAGTGCTCCTGCTTAGGCAAGGTTTCTGGAAGGCAGAGGGAAGTCTGAAGCACAGAGCCGGAGTTGGTTCAGTTCAGCAGAAGACCAACTGTGACATCTAAAGGCAGACGGCCGGCTGAAACTCAGCCTTGGTTCAGAAACATGAGAAAAGCTGTCACGCAAACGGCCAATGCCGCTGCTGCGTACGGAAATAGAGACTATATATTCTTTCCTGCTATTTCTTTTAATGCACTTTCCTATTCGGTACAGATCCCTTTTGCAATAAAACCACGAAATCTTTCTGAAAAGTAAATATGTTCTTTCATTAATCACCACTTTCCACTTGCTTTTTTCCAACTTCATGGCTGAGAAGTCTGCAGGACCGCAAACCTTCAACTAGTGTGCTACCTTGATTAAGGCACAAAACGTTAAAAGCAAATTACTATGAAAGTATGAAACAATTTGCACTTAATGTTTCAGTCATATCTGTAAAAAATATGACTTAAATATAGTTTTATTAATAATACATATTTTAATTAAACGGCTGGAGGTGCATCTAGCAGGAAAAATTGAATCTTCTCTGGATTTCACATACTGGTATGATTCATGGGCAGTAAATATGCAAAGCTTTATGCCCATAAGGCAATCAAACTCCAAAGCTGATATGCATGTTTTTATCTAAAGGAATGAAATCTAGTAAGGGCTAGAAATAATAATAATAACAGACTGCCAGAGCAGTGTAATGAATTGGCTCTAGCCAATAGTATCCTTTACCGTATCATAAAATCATCCTTTCAGTCACAATTACACCCACTCCAACATTTATTATTACTTCCATTATTCTCATTACACAAGGAAATCCTGTATGTGTACTTATGCATATTGCAAAACTTCACAAATATGAACAATAAAATCCTGGGATAGGAGTGACTGCCTTCATGAAGCAGGAATGCTTTCCTCTGCAGGATGTTTAGGTGTTGCTTAGTTCCAGAACGACCACACTTTACCCTTGCTACTTCCCTAACGTTTGCCTAGATTATTAGTTTGCTAGGGCTGCCATAATAAAGTACCAAAGACTGGGCGTTAAAGTCATTTAACAACAGACATTTATTTGCTCACAGTTCTGGAGCCTAGAAATCTGAGATCAAGGTGTCAGGAGGGTTAGTTTTTTTCTGAGGCCTCTCTCCTTGGCTGGTAGATAGATGGCTGTCTTCTCCCTGTATAGTCCTGCGGTCTCTCTGTATGTGTGTCAGTGTCCCAATTTCCTCTTATAAAGATAGCAGTCATATTGGATTAGGGCCTACTCTAGTGATGTCATTTTAAACTTAATTACCTCTTTAAAGATACCTCTATTTCAAATACCCACTTTCTGAGATACTGTGGGTTAGGACATCAACATATGCATCTTGGGAGGGGGGACACAATTCAGCCCATAACACCTGGAAATTATCTTTCAGTTGCAAAGTATGATATTACCTGCTCCTAAGCACTATATTTTGCTAAAAAGAAGAGCCTGGTAAATTTGTAAGACAATGCAGAAGAGACTCAAATAAAAGCTAAGGTCTTCATTTATTTATTTATCTTTACTTTGAATTTCTCTGAAAAAATATTTTCATTCTATTTGTAGTCATCACTGCGAAACACTTGCAAAATTAAAAATAAAAAGTTGACCACCTCTGACTAGCTTTCTATTAGTTCTCCTACTGGGAAGAAAAGATGATCTTCTGGAAGTGCCTAATGTCTAGAAACTAATGATAAAATGTTTTAGTTGTACTCAGTCGATGGGATCGGCTATAGTGGGTTTACATTACTATAATGAAAGAAAAATTCATTTCTTTATCTGGAAGTCCCCTTTGGGACACGGCAAGGGAGACATGTTGTGAGGTCTCTTCCTGCGTAGTTACCCTCACTCCACCTGTGTCACAAGAAGCCCAGGACTTACGTACAATTAGGTATGGATACGGAGCAAGATTGCCCAATAGCCTGGCATTCACCTAAAGTGTGAGGCCATCACCCAGCTCTTAGGTCAGGTTTGGGAGTAGCTGATTCCCAATAGCTTATTTTAATGGCCCAGAAGTACGCATCCAAGTAGCTTTTTTGATATTGTAGATTTAAATTTTCTACTCTGATACTCACTCTAATTTTAAACAAATCTACCAAGCAAAAATAAAAGCAAATAAAGAACACAAAGACCAAACATCCTGAGGAATAACACTTACTCCCAAAGAGCAAGCCACATACAGCCCCAAACCAGGCTCAAAAATGAGGGGCTCAGAGGTGCCTGGGTGGCTCATTTGGTTAAGCCTCCGACTCTTGGTTTCGGATCAGGTCATGATCTCAGGATTGTGACATTGAGCCCCTCATTGGGCTCTGTACTCAGTAGGGAGTCTGCTTGAGATTCTTTCCCCTTCCTTCTCCCTCCTCCTCTGCTCCTCCCCCATGGCCCCCCTCACCCCCGATGCTCACTTGCGTTCTCTCTTTATCTCTCTCTCTCTCAAATAAATAAGTAAATAAAATCTAAAAAAAATACAAATGAGGAGTTCATTTCCATGAGTCCATTATTACTCCAAGGAAGTAATTATAATTATTAATTTGTACAAAGTCATGGAATGAGTATTGACAGAATGAAAATTCATCCGTTCATTCAACAAATATTTATTGAGCAGCCAAATATGCCAGGCCCTGTTCTAGGCATCACAATTTTCTTGAGAGAAAAGAAAATTTAAGACTCTGAAGTTTGTTGCAAACTTCCGAATGAGCAACAGTTCTCTCCTCTTTCTCATACTGTTACATGATTACTCCTGCAATTCATCTTTTGACTTATGGCAATGCAGTTTTCTGATTTGATTAATGCACTTTAGATGAGGTAGCAGTGCAGTTATGAATATTCCAAAGAGTGTAGAAATCACTGATTTGATGTCGGGATGATGGCTGGGTATGTGTACGACTCTTCACTGAATGCTGCCACTGTATGGCAGCTATTAGTAATTAAAAATACAGTGAAGGGGCACCTGGGGGGCTCAATGGGTTAAACGTCTGCCTTCGGCTCAGGTCATGATCTCAGGGGCCTGGGATTGAGCCTGCTCAGCGGGAGGCCTGCTTCTCCCTCTGCCTCTGCCATTCCCCTCCTTGTGCTCTCTGGCTCTCTCTGTCAAATAAATAAAATCTTTAAAAAGATTAATTAATTAAAAATAACAGTGAATATGTAAGAAGACTTAAAGAAAGCAATGAAGCCAAGTCATCATTCCTTCGACCAAAGCCAGAAGGGGAACAGGATACGCCCAACCCCTCCCCTTCAGCATTCCCCCCCGCCTTTCCCACTACCTGGAGCGCAGGAAGAGCTGGGTATTGGTGTGTCTCCTGGGCAGCAGCCCATGGGAGCCCCTCTCCAAGATCCGTAATCTGAAAGCAGCCACGCTGACTCGTCTACCTGCTCTCCCCACTCAAGTGATTGACCTGGATTTTCTAGGTCTCCAGAAACTACCATGCATACACACAGCTGAGAAGGAACAGGAACCCACCCATTCACCTGAACATTAAGCCAAATGTGAACATTTGACCGTGTACAGCTTGCCAGGAAGCTGAGGGCCAATTTGGATGCTCAGTGATTTATAACCGCTTTACTGGCCCTCCTATTTGGTAAGTTTGGTCTTTCTCCATTCTCTCCAAGGTCCTCACTTTCTATTGATAACCTTACCTCATATGAGTTCTTGGTTTCAAGCAGCTCAAAAATAGTCTCAGGTGCCACCGTTCATTCAGTAAACACATTTTGCAAAGTAGTTTTGTGCCATGCACTGTGCCAGGCCTGGGGAGAAGTAACAGAGAGAGACATGAAGATCCCAGCACTCGAGGAGGTTTACCCCTGGGTCACCAACAACCCTGTTGGAACCCTGGGTCTTTTGTGCTCTGTCTTCTCTACAGACCTGCCATCCCCTGAGAATGTTGTGGATTTGCTGCCTGACTTAGAATCCTCCTGTCCTTCCTGCCACCCCTTTTCCGCCTCAAGAAGGGGAGACTGTTGCTGAGTCCTGCCAAAATTTCTTCTTGTCACGATGTTCATTAAAAAGATATTAAGTCCAAGACTCAATTCCCGCTCCTTCAAAGCCTAGAGCATAACAAAGAGCTTATTCCACAGAAATTAAAAGCACAGAAGTTACAAAAGTACTAAGTTCAGATTTTTAATGTTTCCTAGATCAATGAAAGATGCTCTCCCCATGGAAATTAATTCAATTTTAATTCTATTTGTATTAATAGTTATTTTTCTCAGGGAAGGAGGATAACACTTCTGGAGGAGAAGGCCCTAAAAACCATCTCCCTTTCCCCCCTTCCTTGACCCCACCAGAAGGTACTGAGTTAATCTCTGCTGATGAAATGTAAAATTCCTTTAGCTTGCCCTGACTCTGCTAACCAGGAGACAAGCCCCTGTACTGGGTATAACACGATGTACCTCTCCTTCCTAACATATCACAGCTGATATTTAGCTTTTTATTGTGTGAGTCTTTCATTAATGTCTGCTTCCCCTCCTAATCTGTAAGTCCCATGAGGCCAGGGGCTGCATTTTTTTCTTTTTCTTTTCTTCCCCCTAATCATTACATCTCCAGTGCCACGTACAGGGATGGTACATCATAGATGCTTATTAAATTATCCAGCAATTATCCATATATGAATTAACCAATTAATGTCCATGTCTCCACCTTGGGGATAGATTAGATGGCCAATAGCTGCACAGGTACAGAAAGCAAGGAAACCCACATGCATCCTTTAGAGTGTGCAGAATACCGGATATACTAAGTGTTCAATTAATGTTTAATGAGCGATTGAAAGATTCATTGATTAATTGATTGGTTAACCTGGGGGCTTGTGAGGAGAAAATCACAACCTCCAAAAACCTCCTATGATATTTAGTTCCAGGAAATAAAGGCCTGGACTTGTTGGTCTCAGCAACTTTCTCTGAACTTGAAGCAACTTTCAATCCCTGAGATCCCGGGGAGAAGATGAAGCCCTGGGACCCAGAGAGGGGAGGCTCCAGGGCTAGGGTAAGCCCAGTGCTTCTGCATTACACGGGAGAGTCCTAACCTCTTTTAGCTCATCCTCAGAACTTCTCTAAACCTCCAGGACCAGCCTGGATTTAGGAGATAATGTGTAACCTTGGAAAGTCATGTCACTCCTAGATATTATAAAGTCCTGCAGGTACCTCAAATCACCAACCAAATGTCAATTCACTAGTAAAAATTGCCCAGTCCCATGTAGTAATCAGGACCGTGATCTTGAGTTAGAGTTTAAAATTTTCTTCCCTGCTGCATATGGGCTCTTGGTCTTCCTATTCTCTTTCTCCTAACTGAAACTGATTGCACACAGGATCCCTGCCCCCTTCAAATGGGGTGTGTAGCTCTCCCTCCCTCACTCTCCCTCCTCACCTCCTCCTCTTCTTCTCCCTCTCTCTTACTTACCTCCTCCCCTGTTTCTTCTCTCTCTCTCTTGCTTATCTCCCCCACTTGCCAGACCTGTTTTTGAAAGAAAGAAGACATGAATGGGGACAGGATAGTTATTATTTGACTGGCACCACCAATGATGTCTTCTCAATGTCTAAGCTGGAGAAATGTTTAAAAAGGACTTTTTCCGATGGCGGTATTTGTACACAGTCTATGGAACTCCCAAGCATCGGGTACCTCTCCTGAAGTTCTTTTGACAAGAACAATGTGTTCTACTCGTCCAACCGCTGTGCTCTCTCAGTCCCCAGTGTCCTGGGAGGTATTTGCCAAACAGACTTCCTCTGTTGGAATCCCATTGTCTTTCCATAGAGGTCCTTGAGCAGAATTTTCTAAACTTTATGGTATGGACATTTGCAAGCATTCCCAAAGTAAAAAGAATGAGACAATGAACCCCCATGTGCCAGTCATCTAGCCTCAACAATTATCAGCACATTTCAACCCACCCCTGGGGGTATTTTAAAGCAATTCTCAGATTATCTGTATTCACTGAGTAGAATTTAAAATGGTCCTAGGCCAGGTTTTTTCTCCCATGTGACCCTCATCTTGCCCAAAGGAAACATTCATTTACCTGTGTCCTGACCAACTTTGGGGGGCAGATCTGCTCTGCCCAGCGGTCATGTTCCTTCACTCTGCTGCCAAAACAATGTAGGAATCCATCTCTGCTGCCATCTGAACTTCCAAGGCAGTATGTCAAAGTGCATACCCAACTACAAAGAACTATGCAGTAAGTGTTATGGATAAACCTAAGGAAGCCCTTTTTCCCAGGCTTTGGCATAGGAAATAGCCACCATCATCTATGTCCCTCTCCTCTACAGTGGACAGGATGCACAGAGCGGCACTCTCTCTAGAAAAAAAAAAAAAAAAAAGTCACAAATAGCTCTATCTCTACTCTCTCAATAATTTTATATCTTCAACGGATAGGGTAGTTCAAGAGACTTCTAATCAATTTTCTGATGTCTCCTTGGTAAAGTCTGCATATGGTCCAACACATCCAACAGGATGCAGCAATTACTGTAATTCAGTATCCTGCCCAAAACTTCAATATTCTGATTTCACTCACTTTCAAAGGAGTTTCACACAGTACATGCCTAGTTGTATTTGTTCAATGATGTCAAAGCTACTACAACTTTCTCTTCTAGTACTTTTATTATCCTAAATTGCACATATTTGTAAATTTTTCTCCTTATACCTACAACCAAGTCCCTGTATTCTGACACTAATCTGTCAGCGGTGAACTGTTATTGGTTTCCCATTTAATTCTGTTAGTATTCTCGCTTCTGAAATTAAACTATGATCATCTGCAGAAAGGGCTATGCTCATTGACATTAAATATGATTAGTTTCTGAGTATGTGATTAGTTACAATTATATTCTATTGCCACCAGTCCACTGAGATTTTCAACTTATTAACTCATGATACAGCTAAAACTAACTAAATCATTGTATGATAATGAATAAATTCACATGCCATTGGTTAATTTCCTTCATGTATAGAGAAACATAATATGCAGATGCGGGAGGCATAAAACATCCTCTTAGCCTTGGCCTATGTTTTACCTCCATACAAATTTAGACTAAGGTGGCTAGTCATTGAAGCCATTTTTTTTTCCCACAAGCAACATTGTCAAAGTTCTGCCAGCGACTTGAGGAGAGATTTGGCCAATCACTTTCTCCTTGCCAAAGATTTTCTGATCTACACAAGGTGATAGGCTCCCCCAGACCAGAAGCAGTGCTTACTTTGCTCCCTTCTATCCCATCAGCCTAGCTTAGTGCCCAATACTTGATAAGTCCTCAGCAAATACGTGTTGGATGAATGTGTATATTGAATAATCAGGACATGTGGGATTTAATCATAATGGAAGTTAATTTTATATCCTACTAGCCCTTTAAAATATATGCTGCAAAGAAAGATTTTTCCCCTCTTTTGGATAAAAGCTTGGGCAGTTCCATGACTATGCTCGTCACATGAGGTAATTCAAAGATCTATACTGATTTTAAGTCACCAAAGGTGCTCTCAGCTCTACCCTTTGAATGTGTAATCCCATGTAGCTGTCAAAATTTCCATCTTTATCTCAAGTTATATCTTCATTTGAGACCTGCAGAGGGAAGAAAGCTGGGCCAGGTAAGGCATGTGGTCAGCTTTTTAAACTCTCTTTGCTTGTCCTTTCCCACTTTGTTACCCAAGACTTCTAACTAGCAGAAAGGAAGGAGAGACTTGGTGCAATGAAGTTCTTATTTTGCAAGCCAAAAACTGGGAGACAACACATACAACCGACAAAGGATTCACATCCAAATACATTTTTTTGATTCCTGGGAAGGGAATAATGAGCAAAAGACTAACAGTTACTAGAAAAATGAGGACTAAACAGAATAGTCATCTTGGCAGAAGTGAAACATAGATGGCCAATAATCATATAAAAAGAGAATGAAAACTGGTATAACCACTTTAGAAAATAATTCAGCATGGCCTGTTAAATTAGAAGACTCATATACAGTATGACTATCAACTGAATTCCCAGACAAATACTCTGGAGAAACCCTTGCATATGTGCATCAGAAGACGTACAAAAATATTCAATACAATGATATATGGAGCAGCAAAAACGTGAAAAATCCAAATGCCTATTGATAATAGAAGGGATTGATTGTCATATATTAATACCACACATAATATTAATAAAATACTATGCAGTGAAATGAAAAACTACAATTAAGAGCATTATAATGGATGGATCTCAAAAGCTTAATGTTGAGTTCAAAAATAAAACAACACAATAAATGTATAGAAATACCTACACATAGAGTAAAATCATGACGAAAAACAAGGGAGTGTTAAGTATACAATTTAGGATAATGGTTCACTCAGAGAGGGAAGAAGAGAGACATTCCAAAAGAGCAAACAAGAGCTTCAAGATATTGGTATTGTCCTATTTGGTAAACTGGGTTGGGGAGTATGTGGATGTTCCTCTTCTTAATTCTTTTAAACTATATATACATATTATTTATAATCTTTTGCATATATGTTATATTTATAAATTTTTTAAGTTAAAAAAAGTAAAACAAGGAAAGGAAATAACCTAAATAATCCAGATTGATCAAGTTTACTGAATCAATAATGATTTAGTTCTCCACTTTTACAAGTGTAAGCACAAATTCTCAAGTAAGCTCAAGGGAGATCATTTTGTCCAAGACTTAGATATTTATGAAGTACATAATGACCCTCGGGGTCATATAACACAGAAAGAAACTATGCAGAGTCCTCATCAGGATTTTTTGTGAACACTTCAGTGGAAAAAATCTACCATCTTACTATGAGTTAAATGGAGTCACTCTCTACCTCTGTTCAAAGTCAGTGCTCCTTTATGACTAATGGCCTGTGGTCAACAGAAGAGCATAACCTTTGGCAACAGGCAGGATTTTTACTCCTACTTCTGCTACAGACTTACATGACCTTGGGCAAGTACCTCTATCTCCCTGTGCCTCTTTTCCTTCATCTGTAAAATGGGAGTAATGCCTAAATTGCAGGGTTGGGAAGGTTAAGTGGCACCGTGCATATATGGCAGAAAGTGCCAAGTGCTTGTTAGGTACAAAGAACTGACAGCTGTTACCATCATCATTACTACCAGTATCATCACACACTATCACGTGATTGGCAGAGAGAAAGCAGCAGATGTATCTAGTAAGTAATTTTCATGAACATGTTTTTTTTTAAAGATTTTATTTATTTGAGAGAGAGAATGAGATAGAGAGAGCATGAGAGGGAGGAGGGTCAGAGGGAGAAGCAGACTCCCTGCCGAGCAGGGAGCCCGATGCGGGACTCGATCCCGGGACTCCAGGATCACGACCTGAGCTGAAGGCAGTCGCCCAACCAACTGAGCCACCCAGGCACCCCGAAGCACCTATTTTCTTTCTTTTCTTTTTTTTTTTTTAAAGATTTTATTCATTTATTTGAGAGAGAGAGAATGAGAGAGAACACATGAGAGGGGGGAGGGTCAGAGGGAGAAGCAGACTCCCTGCCGAGCAGGGAGCCCGATGCAGGACTCGATCCCGGGACTCCAGGATCATGACCTGAGCCGAAGGCAGTCGCTTAACCAACTGAGCCACCCAGGCACCCTCATAAACATGTTTTAACATGAACTTGAAGGGCTGCTCAGAGCATCTTTGTAATTCTGTAAATTTTAAAAACCTATATAATATATAGACATACATATACTGAATAACTAATTACTAATGCAGACTCTATAAAAATCCTGCTATATTTATATGTTCATACCCTGAGTACCTGAACTAATAAAATGGTATTAATGGCTATTTAGATAAATTCACAATTCTAAATTAGACCTTTAATTTCTGTAATAAAAAAGAAAGTGGCTTGTACAATTTCCCATTTTCATTTTCCTACATGGAATACAGTAGCTCTAACATAATGTATGACTTTGTGAATATTTCCAGGACTGCTAATATTTTATCTAATATTATATCTTGTGTTTTCTGATCTCTGACCTTCGTTGATACTCCCAGAACCCTCATGAGCAATGCTCACTATGATAACCCTTGGTAGAAGAAGCAGGATTAAATCGAAGTTAAATCATACATGGCTAGAATCTTTCAAAGAGGCCTCTCAGGGTCGGTAGTGATTTTTTCCATGTATATTTCTCCTCTTAAAGAATGTTTCTTAAATATTTGATTCATCAGGACTAAAATATATGTTTTATTTTGAAATAGATCACTAGTAAACACTGTAAAATAGGAATACGACCCTAAATTCTTCTTAGTTTTTTTTTTATTTCCACATTTTTCATTATATCAATATATATTCTTACATCCACTGGGGAACAACAAAACAGAACAACAAGAGCACACATACAAAAAAGAGACAATACAGCTTTAAAAGATGACAAAGATAATTTATTGACAGAAGAAAAAGAAAAACATTATTTTTTTAATTAAATTGAATCGTTGCCTTAATATTTACAAAAGGTGATGAGCATTTGAAACCAAAAATGGATATACTTTCCTCAAGGGAGGAAAAAGAAATATTAAAGAGAATCAGAATCAGGTGAAGACCAGATTATGAAGAATTATAACACATTAGGAGCAAACACAGGACAGTTATGATGGAAATGGTAAATGGGAGAAAGGATTTAAACAGTCAATGGAAGCAAATAAGGAAAAGACATTACTTCACAAGAAGAAACTTCACTATCTTAGCACAAAGAAGGCCATAAAATCACTTGGGTAAACTTTAATTTAGAAGAAAGAGCAACTAGAATTGTTACTCAGTGATAACTTTAAAATACTAAATGTACCAACTTTCCTGCATCCACTACCCAAATCAAATGGTTGAGTAGGTCTCATAATATAGGATCTCCCACTTATCTGCCAATGGGAAAGTGGCCTCAGATTCCAACTCACGGCAAAATATTCCTATACCCCAAGTCTCCATTCTTTCTCCCACCTCCACTACCTATCTGTGACCCATTTTCCTCTTCAATACCCATACACTGCTTCTAAAATACAAATTCAATCCTAAGAGTCTCCTGCTTATAATTCTTCGCTGGTTCTCTATTGCCTACAGGTAAAGTCCAGGTAAAGCCAAATTACCCAATTCAAGATTCTCCTTGATTCTGTCTCTGTCTTTCCACTCTCCAGTGTTTTTGCTTCTGCAATGGCCCTTGGCCCTCCAGCTAGACTGAAACACTGGCAGCCCTTAAATGCACAGACCTGCCTGTTGGCTGCCTTTGCACCTGCTTTTCAGTGTACCTGGAATGCCTTTCCTTCCCTTGTCCACCTGAGAATCTTCTCACCCTTCATGACCCAGAATCCCCTGAAAGACAGAGAGCTT